AGTCAAATTGGTAAAATATAGACCCTATTTGACGGAACGTCCCCGCGTATAGTAAATAGGGAAGTATACCCTTTTTACCAATTTGAAAAAAGGTATCAGTATTGATAACTTCTATCAGGAATCTTCCTACACTTATCTACAAGATATAGAGTATTAACTTCCTCGAAGAACATTTTTGAGCCAATTTCTTTCGCTGAGTTGTCCGTGTTCAGTTTTGGTCACGCGTAACAGAGGTTGCGTTACGTGTGACCGAAACTAAACACGGCAGCGAGGAGGCTACTGTAGTGTATAATACGATTAAAAAAACATAGTGAACTTTGAGAAAATTAATTTAAGTTCGCAGGGGTAACAGCCCGGCGGGGGTAACAGTAACCAGTAAAGCTATGCATGCTGATCATCAGATGTCGAAACTTAGCGCTAGAGTAATAATCAAATTATATATATATATATGAATTCATGCAGCGTTCTTTCACGATGACGTGGATAAGATACTTCATGTATCAGTGGGAATCTACGACGGAGAAGACTACCCTCCTGTTGTTCTTCAAGATTGAGAAAGTTGGTATTTCTCGCAGAGTATGACGATAAAGCCATTGGACTACAAGTTGCAACCATTTCAGAGAATCGACACTCGTTTGTCACTCAAGCACTAAGAATACACCCAGAATATCGTGGCAAAAGACTAAGTTACCTTTTAACTGATGCTGTGACAGCAAGTGTCCGTTCCAAATTTCCTCAAATTTCGAGAAAAAATAATGTTTGCAAGAAGAAAGGGGCTTCTTTTGCAGTGTGTATCAAGAAAGGTAGTACACCTATCATGAAGCAGAAGGTGCACGAGATTCAAAAGATACCCACTGATGTACTTCGGGGAAAACGTTCAGAATTATGCAATTCTGGGTTGGTGTCTTTAGATACAGAACATGCACTTGAATTGTACAAGAGCAAAAAATTGTTAGATCTCATTGGTTCACATGGTTTCATCGTAGTTGATAAAGGTTTCCCTCATAAGCTTCCAGAGGATTCCCACTTGGTGATCAACGAAGTGGATCAAGTATATATTGATGTTTCTTTGCAGGACTTTCAACAAGGACAATTTCCAAAGTCGTTCAGTCAGGGTGTGATGTCAAAAAGGGTTGCAAAAGAGTTTTGGATTTGCCAAATATATACAAATGATGCCAGGCTTTTTAAGAAACATTTTCTTCGTCAATTGAGTGCTGCCGTCCAATGTGCTGAAGCCCAAGAATTCATTTTTCGTCTCTTTCTCAGCGGTAGCTCAAAATTGGATGGAAGCAAATTGGTGAAAGATGAACTTTGTAATTTGAAGCTGAATTGTGAAATGAGCAGTGATGTTCGTGTTCTTTTGGAATATGTTTTTTATTGAATTATCATAATCTTTGATTGCTGTCGGGACAGTAGCTAACGAAATGTGTTATGAGAAATAATTTACACTGGAAAAAATCGCGCGCTTTAAAGGTTGTAAATTTGATTTGATTTGATTTGATTTGATTTGATTTGATTTGATTTGATTTGATTTGATTTACAACCTTTAAAGCGCGCGATTTTTTCCAGTGTTACATTATCAGATTTAGTTTAGTTTCACGAATAGATGAGTTTCACGATCTCATTTACACTGTGTTAGATTTCATTCATTGTGTCTCACAGAACTCTTGCATTTGCACGGTCTGTTACTGAATAATTTACGTGGTTTGAGGCCAACACAGAGAATTGACCTCGTATTATAACTCTCATCTGCATTAGCAATATCAAAACTTGTCTTGATAGAAATTGCGAYTTAACCCTAAAATACATTTACTTGAAGGAAGAGCTATTGATGATCTTCTAACGACAGTGCATTATTTAGGAGGAGTTCCATGGATTTCACGGAACTCCCTTGAGCATCATGCAGAATATGTTTTTGAATCATATTCGACATGGGCTGCCTGTGCCTATGAGTACTTGCAGTATATTTTATCAGCGTTTCGYCTCGTGAGAAACCAAAATGGAATTCCCTTTTGAAAAATCATAGATCTAMCACTGAACGATTATAAGAGAATTTTAATGAATAAAAGCGAGCCGGATTGATATTGCTGTGGGAATTCGAAAAGGCATTCGATTCAATTGCGCAWAATTTTGTGACTTGGTTTTGAAGAAAATTTCACGCATAATATGGACTAAAAAGCTGAATCATCAAAGATTTTTTCGAGATAAATAGAGGTACTAAACAAGGCGATCCGACCTCGATCCAATGTTGATATCCGATAATGGCCTGGGAACGAGATGTGTGTCATACCTTCAAAATAAGCCCTTCTTGTTTCTAAACTGTGTAAAAATGTTTGAAAACGTTTGAAATCTACATTTGCCAGTATTTAATTTCAATGATTTTTCAATGACTAACAGCAAACTCTCCGGCTCATTCTCGATAAATTTCCAGCCGGATTGTGGACTCAGTTTTCATTAGATTACTGCATTATCCGATAACAAATGATTTCTCCAGAAAGAATTTGATCAATAATTTATTTAATTTCACTCAAAATAGCTGCACTTGAATGTTTCACACTATCATCTTAATGTTCGACAGCAAATAGTTACAGCACAAAGAATGCACAAGTAACGACAATCGTCTTGGTTTACTAAGAAAAGAACTTTTTACGTCAAACGGCTATATGTCACGTGACAGGGCATCATTGTGCGTCACATGATAAATAATTGACACACTTTGCGGACTCAACGGTTTTGGTGAGACGTTACGAAACAGGGCGTATATCATGCTCTATTTCATAAGGATTTCTTTATAAACTTCGTAGCGCAAATGCTTTTCCTTGTCCTACACCAGTATGAGGATTTCCTATTCGTTTTTGGAAGCGATCTCTCATGAGTTTATGAGTGTCTCATTCAACGAAGAACCCATTAAAAGTGAGGTAGGTTTGTTGATGATTTTGCGAAGTTAATAACTGTATTGAAACCATTCCATACCTTTTTATCATTTTAAGTACTATTTTACAGTAGAAATCATATATTTTCCATGATAGTCCTTATAATTTGAGATTAATTAGGGTTACTTTTACAAAAAACGTGCTATTTTAGAAATRAAAATAGATAGTTATGAATAAAAAACGCCTTTAAAGTGAGCTAAATTCAAACAAAACAAATATGTGAATGCGTTTGGAAAGCGTCTTTAAGAGTCCCACATTATGTTCTTGTTCTGTGCTGACAATGGAATGCTTTGTGGATTTAATGCAATTTTAATGGCTAGATCAGTTTTCTATGAAGAAAGTGTTAGAAAAGCCTTGTCGGCAATTAGGTTTTTCCTTTTGAGAGTAAACCACCTAAATATTTGGATGGGAAAATAATGATCAAAATCGATGCATTCTTCTGGAATTACAAAATGCTTTAGCCTCAGATGATTGCAGACAATGAGCAGATTAAAAAGTTCTAGTTACTTCTTACAGATAAAACTATTCTAACTGTCCCAAATTTTTCTTATCGCTTGAGTCAAAGCTGATTGAAATCGTTGTTGTCCAAATTCCGAGCGTTTAAAAGCAAAAGTTTTGTCTTTAAAGATAATTTTAACCTAATCTTCTTCAAAGGCTTTATTTTGCGAAATAATTCTTTTGCGCTTGTTTTGAATTACAATGGTAAGCCAGCTACCCAACAAGCTGTGTTATGACTAATTGTGGTTATTAACAATCTCCACTATATGGTCGGGAATTCGAATAACAAACTATCCGTTCCACAAGCGCAAAAGAGAAAAGAAAACCTGAATCAACTATTTTGTGGTTTTCCTTTCTTTCTAACTCAACTATTTCGCAATGCAATGCGAAGCTATGATATATTCCACAGAAAGACCAGATGTAATTCGGGTATTTAGGATAATTCATGTTCGATGAAATGCTTTTGGTTCTAAATCAAACGATCAAAACTTCAAGCAATTAAAATGCAGTTTTATAATTGAACCTAACTCGGATGATGGTTGCGGCATTAATAATGAATTACGAAACAACCATTAGAAATAAACTTGATATCCATACACTCTTCGCAAAAAAAGTATCGCTTCCGAACAGCTCCAATCAAATCGGATTCAAAGAAGTCGTTCGCGGTCGTCTGATTTGAACTGGGAGACCGCCACAAAAATCTCAACAGTCCAACACCCCTTGGGATCTGAATACATTTTAGGCAAAGATACTTGAAATTATTCAACAATTAATAAGGTTTTTAAGATATAACATCTGACAATTAAATTCTATATTGAATAAACGAAACGTTTCAGAAAATTTACAGATTAGAGTTGTGCAAGTCATGTTATCTTCAATATTTTAGACCATTAACCCCCCCCCCCCCCCCCCCCCCCCCCAAAAAAAGAAATAAAAGAAGAGAGGGAAAAAAGGAGAGAAATTCTGACGTTTCGCGTCGTCCCGAAGGATCTGTCCAAATCGCAAAACAGTCATCAGCGTATATCGATCGACTGCCTTCATGCCTTTCAATAAAAACACAGCTGTTTCATTAGAAACTCCGATTCGGGCAACAAGAATATAGCGCTAGTTATCTCTTGATTGTTATAGATAATTAGTTTGCCTCCTTGTTGGTTGTCGATCGGCGATTTGGGTAACAAAGAACCTCCATGATTTTTAACATTTGCGATAACCCAAAATAGTTGTCATACAGTTACTATTTCTGCATTCCTATTTCTAACCAAACTCTTCAAAAAACAAATTAGGTTGGTATGTAGAAAAATGTAATTGGSAATGATTAACTTAATTAACATTGTTTTTTCGTGACAGCTACATGATATGCCCTTTATTGAGCTTAACAGTACTGGACTTCTACATTTTTTCCTTCAGCCAACTCACGAACGCTTCCGTTTTATTTACAGGAATCAACTAGCCGAAGTCTAAACGAAGTACTCTCGAATGTTTGACGACAACCTACGAGGCTGCAATGATTGACAGTTCTGGTTGTCTTAGAACCTTGTTCTCTCATGTCAAAAGCATTGGCCGTTTTGAAGCTATTTTTCTCATTGGTGTCAATCAACTCTACTGCCAAGTCCCCAACTAACAGTTTTACGCATTCAAACAGTACCATCCCAATTACCCCTGCTCCTCTACCTATGCCTCTTCTCATAAACCCAGTGGACTCTTTATCGTCATTTGTTGGACAAGCATTCGAGTTTGAAGTCCCGGATGACACTTTCCATCCCATTGGAAAACTAAAAATGTCGATGTTGACGGTCAACAAAGGACAGGTTTCATCAAAGTCGTGGCTTCGTTTTAATCCAAAGACCAGCAAAATCTACGGTCTTCCCTTGCAAGGCAATGCTGGAAAGTTTAAATTCTATCTCAAAGCAACTAATGAACAAGGAATGTCGGCTGAAGATATTATACATGTTCACGTTCGAGATGCTGGCGGTCAATATAATCACGAGTTTGTCTTAAAGACTGCATTTAATCTTGCGACCTTCGTGTCAAATTTGGAAAATAGGTTTGTTTTTATCAAACGACTGGCGAGGTATACGCTTAGAAGCAGTGATGTCAGTACAATATGGATCAAATCGTATAACAAAGGTCTTAAGCAAATAACAATTGCCTTCAATACTATTAGATATTCCCCTTGCAATAAAGGTGAGCTGGAAAAGTTACGAAACAAGTTTGTGACATCTTCAGGGAGTATTCGAAGCGACTTTCAGAAAGCTCTTTCTAGTACCTACCCAATCACAGGCGTGGATCTAAGATACTTTGGACCCTGTGATCCACCAACACCACCACCCCCTCCACCCTTTGAATGGGGTATTCTAAAACATTTAATGCCAATTCTAATGCTTCTGTTTGTAATTGGGCTACCTGTGGGGATTTCATGTGCAGTGCGCAAGCGAAGCGAGAAAAGAAGAGCTAAACTTCTGGACCAACTGAAGAAAAAGCGTAGAGAGGAAGAAAATGGCGGATTTACATTCCATACCGTGCATTATAACAACAGATATCCTTCAATGTTATCGATGTCGAACAACTCTCGAGAGGAAGAACAAACCGGTGATTCGGACAACAGCAACAGTAAGACTATGTTGAATGGAAGTCTTCCTTCTAATAACATCAACGGCATAACAACTGTATTAGTGAACAATAGCCCAACAAATAACGCAATGGCTGCATCACCAAAGAATGAACGAGCTGCAGGAACACTGAACACTGAAAACAAACCAATCAACGTTGATGTGAAGAGACCTAACTCTGTCAACTTGGATAAACCAGCGAACAAGCCCGGGAGAATAGTTTACATGGGAAAATCAGACATGAATATTCCTGTTTATTACACAAAGCCTAAAGAAGAAGAGCCGGAGTCAGAAATGTCATTCTTTGGCATTGCTGAGACAATTTCATCCACGATAAAAGGAATTGGGAAATCTGTTATGAATATTGCAGGACAAGGAGAAGAGGAGATGGCACCAGYGCAAGAAGTCAAAGTCAACAATGCACAAGAAAGGATTTCTAAAGACAACAATGTAGTTTTGCTGTCGTCGGAACTTCAACTTCCTTTAGGAGTGAATGGTAAGTCCGATGTTTCCAGGCGCTTTTCTGTGCAAAATATTGAAACTGAGATTGGTAAAGTCCACGTTGGTGGTGGAATACCAAAGCGAAGTCGATCTGAAATGAAACTCAGTGACTTAGCTCATCGTGCCAACCACGAACCAGACTATGGAATGATGTTCGATGAACGTTCAAACATTGCCGGTACATTAATGAGTCCAAGTAACGTTCGGTTGCCAATGAGAGGACTTTCTATGCCCCATTTAGACATCGCCAGTCAAGCTGATATGCACAATTATTCACAGTTTGAACCTCAGACTAATCCACAAAATGTTCCATTAAAGAGCTGTTTAAAAAATTCACAATCGTCAACGGCCATTTCTTCGATGATGGAGCAAACAACAGTGCAAGGTGGAGGAATGGTTATTGGTGATTTAACACACCAGATAGAGCAAATGTCTCTGGAAATGAGGAATGACTTTGGAAGCAAAGGAAATGAGAATGTTCATTACACTAGTCAGCACTTCGACGATGGACAAACTTCATATCAACAAACTGCATATTCTGGTGGAGGAACGGCATATTCTGGTGGACAAATCGGTTCATCCGTTGGAGGACCAAGTTATTCTGGTGAAGCTACCATGTATTCTGTTGAAGGATCGTCTTACACTGCTGGAGATACCGTATATTCTGCAGGACTCGCCAATTCTTCAAGTGGTCAAACTATATATTCCAACGGACAAACCGTATATTCAGATGGAAACTCCGTATATTCTGGTGGAGGACTTTCGTACACTAGTGGTCAAACCATTTCTTCCGGAGCACAAGTTTATTCAGACGGACATGCAGTTTATTCTGGCGGAGGACTTTCGTATACCGATACGGTTTATTCTGGTGGACAGCACATTTCTTCCAGCGGGCAGGTTGCTTATTCTGGTGGAGAATCAGTGCATACTGGTGGAGGGGCCGTTTACTCTGGTGGGCAAACTGTTTCTACCGGTGGACAGGTTGCTTATTCTGGTGAACAGACCGTATATTCCAGTGGGGAACCTGCGTACACTGGTGGAGGGGCCGTTTACTCTGGTGGGCAAACTGTCTCTTCCGGTGGGCAAACCACTTGCTCTGTTGAAGAAAGGGTTCATTCTGAAAGATCTATACAAGGAGGAAACGACAATAACACGAGTGGAGGGAAAATGCATCAAAAGGATGACGATCTTTCTGTTGATGATGAAGAGGCAATGGACTATACAACATGGAGACGGCGTAAGATCCAACAAGCTGAGAGAGAGGCCCAGCTGAGGAAATCCCAGACTGCTATGGATGAACATCCTAGCGGGAATGATAACAACACAATGGAAGAGTCGCCTTACGAGGACTACGTCAACCCTTACCAATATGCCAACGGATCGTCTAGGACAGGTAGGGCACAGTCGTCCATATTTCCTTCTCATGACTATGGGTGGAGTGAAGATTATCAGAAGGATAACCGCTACAAGCAACAGCCACCGAATTCGCCTTTAAACAGCAGCTATAGCACCCACTCCATGCCTAGTCTAACCGGAGATCACAATCACTTTGCATACAGTGCTACACATGTGGACAACAATAGTAAGTTTCCTGAAGGTGATAAAAGTGTTATGGGGAATTTGTTCTCACGAGAAAAGCCTGCGGAAAACAAGAATCTGAACACGCAGCCTGGACAACAACAGGACGATGGATCTCTTGTTGGTTTTCTGAAAACAACAGTTGGTGGTATTCTGGGTCCATCTGATCGTTCATCGTGGTTCAAGTAGAAATGAGTGAAACGTGTGAGTAGAAATCGTGTTATATACACATTCAATCCTGAAGCAGTTAAGACACTGCTCATTATGCAATGGATCTTTCTGCAAACCATCTTAATCTGGCCAACTTCGATAAAGGCCATTTATCAAGTCATTTAAATACAAATGTAAAATATTTACAAACTCACTATGGATTGTCAGATCAGAGCTCCAACTGAACTTTTCAAATTGACAATCTATATGCACGAGTTAACAATCCAATCATTATTGAAGTACTCCTAGTTATCTTCTTCAATGACTTAAGGTGAATAGCTTCAGCTGTACTTTGTTATGCGTGAAGCTTTGTAGTTAATTATTAGGTCAGTCATCACGCTATACTTAGGTTTAGTGTCGTCTCATAACTAACAAGTGAAATTATGAATGCGTTAGGAAAAGTAACTGTTTTTTAATGTTATGCAGAGAAATACTTTAACTACTTGAACTAACTTGTTTATATGTCAGTATTTGTGCAGTTTAGTTACAAGAGAGGTGTTGTTATAAAAAGGCAAATGCAGAATAGGCGCGGAACTCCTTTACGAGCATCGTTAATAGTATCATCCCAGGCATATACCATTCCAGGCGCATTCTTTGTGACGACTGCGTTTATATTGCGTAAAGTTAACGCATACGGTGAAGATTCCGTAAATGTGTATGTTCCGCGAAGATGCGTAAATTCATCCTTTACGCATGCTTTACGGACCTTATACGGATACAGAAATATCAGGACTTGAGCTGTGAATCAGTAGTGTTCCATGTCAAAGGGGGATGTAGGAGAGGGCGGGGCGTTTCAAGCTGTAGCTTACATAACCTTCTTGACAAGCGTCTCTTTACTCGCTAGAAATAACGGGCTTCCTGTGTTTGGTCGAAGAGAGAGAGAGCGGAAGGCAGTCCTATCTCTTCAGGGTTACCCGCATACAAAGGAGCGTAGCGTATTGCAAATCCATTTTTACTTAGTCAGAATTTCCTTCGGTTTTAGACTATTTTGTAGCAATCATTGACAACTGACAAAATCAGGCAATTTTTTAAATCGCTTTTTCGACTGCGTGACTCATGTAAAAGTAGGCATTAATATCATGTAAATTGATTCGACAAATAAATAATTGAACTCGAAAACATTGTGTGGTGTGAGCTTTCCTCTATCTTAAGCCTGTTTCCACTACGCTATAAGCATAAGTGGTGGGTGAAAAAAAAACAGCATTTGGAATTAGACGCCGGTGATTAAGTGATGTTTATAAAAAGACGTGGTTTACTTTGTTCGTTTCTTTTATCTTTATCAGCTTATTCTTTGTCTTATGCTTATTGCTATGCTTATGTCTATTACTCACTTGACTTTATTCCTTTGTCTTTTCTTTTGCTCTCGGCTTATGACTATGATTATGTCCTAGTGAAAACCAGATCTTTATTTCTGATGTTAACATTTTTCATTCCGATTATTTTTTTCGTTCTGATTCAGCCTCCTTATTTAATTATCGATGATTATTTTCTTATTGCTGTCTTTTATAATTTATTTTTTTATTCCTTGTGGGAGAATAGTTTTTAAAGGAAATATCAGATCGAAAACTTTATACTCCAGGCATTATCGGCATAAGTGAAAAAAAAAGCTAAAAAAATACATGGAGGCAAAATACTCGATCGATTAGCCTATATCGACTTGTGGCAAACCTTTCTTGACACTCCATTTCACATGGCACATGACATTGTTAACAATCTTTAGTACGACCAGCTGTGTTTTCTTTATTTGTCGAACAAAGACATTTGATATTCTTAAACGGAAAAAGAAACAAAAAGAAATAACATAACACTGAAAATTTGCCAAGCGGGACACATTATCGAATTTGTTGAAAAAAGAATCATCGAAGCAAAACGTTTTACCATCTAATTCATTAGTTTCTAAAAAGAAATGCTTTCCTGTTACCGATATTTGCTCGTTAGCGATTAAACGATAATACTCGGTCAAATACAAAGCTTTCTAAGCTATATTAAACTTTAAAGCCCATATAGTTAACAATGTCAATCCTGAGCCAATCACCATGGAAACACCATGAGTCAGAAATGCCGATTATTATTTGGAGGTCAGTCACATAACAAGCATTACCAACTTGAATTATCAAAACAACCTAGTCTTCACTTGGTTTCAGGCTTTGGTTATGTTTTACTAGGTAAGTGATTATGTTTTTGTCATAATTACTAGTTTAATTACAATCTTTTTATGTACGTGAATCGCTTGTTTTCGTTCTGATCTGCTTATTTTCGAGAGGTGTATTGTGTATTCTAATCCCTTGGGTTAGTATAAAACAAAAAGCGTCTTTGCTTCAATGTAAGAGCTTGTGGACATCGTCTGTGGATCGAGTTAAGGTTCTTTTTACTGAATAGAACTGTCTCAAGTAGTCGCTCTCTTGATACAATGACTTGAACACAGGATCTTTTGCAATGAAGCTATTATATTCCTTCGACGTCCAATTCAAACAGCCACGGCTTCGTCTTATGTTAAGGTATAGTTCATCTTAGCTATAGCAAGGACCACCACTGGCTGTGAGTTCTGTACAAGATTTATTATAGTCGTCTACGACATAGTTTAMTATGTCTACGAGGAAACTGATGTCTCTTCATTAAATTATAGCAAAAATCAACAATCTGATGAATTGTGTCCGATCAACGCTGACTAATACTTTTTAGGAATTTTAAAAGTATATTTCTGAAGATAAAGGAAAGAAAGACAGTAGATTGAGAAAATTCAGTCATGTCATACAACTTAATCCGTACACCGAAGTAAAGAGCCTAGAACAGTCCGTAGAATAGAGATGCCCGTTGTACAGAGGTCAGCCCGTAATAAGGAAGTCACATCGGCAACGTAACAGYCTAGAATACAGTATTATATTTACTAAAGCTTGCTTTATAAACCACATAATTCAGCCATGAAGCTATTTACGCCATTGCCGACTTTCCTATCACGGGAGACTGGGTACAAATCCCTTAATGGTATGACGGTAACGTAAGGCTTGCACACTAAGGGTAGAAGCAACATGACGAAAGTAGTTCTTCACTCATAATTAACTTCATTCAATACTATTAGATCTTTTACAGATACTGTACCAGCCTTATTCCTTCACTTTGGGGAGGGGGGGGGGAGTGTTTTTGCGTCATAATCGTTATACTTCGTCCATTCATTTTACGTGACAGTGATTTTGAAACAATCGATATACCAAATGCGCATCAAAAGTCTCGAATGATCTTTCTACGTTTGTTGTGTTAATATATTTGAACACTTATCTACAACTTGGACCGAGAGAAACAGTATGTTCTGTGGTTCCGAAACTGGTGATGTTTTCCCGGCTCGGACTTTTTTATCATACCAAGTGTCAAATTTCAACAAAAAAATATATAAATTTAAAGAGGAGCTTTTATTAAGAAACCTAGCGCCGGAGCGAAGCTATACTTTAACTTTGGCTTAAATATTCACTCGATTTTGCTATGTTAATGGTCCACATCACATGGCCGGGAAACATTCGAATTTCATGTCCACGTGATACACTCTCCACCAATAAGATACTACAAAAAGTGAACTTTGACACTTGGCTTATAATAGATTTTGTTACAATAATGAGTACTTAAAGGTGTCAAAGAAAGAGAGAAAATAAAAGAAGTAGATTTCTCATTGTACTTAAATACATATCTTTTCAGAGAATGCACCGATGAAAATGAGCGCTAAGAAGAGCCCTGGTATTAGCCAACCAAAACCATCAGTCGGAGGCACCCACACGCGTCAGCACCGAGACAGTCACACACCAATAATTCCAGTAGACACCAAATACCTCGAGAAACAATATCGAATGTCTGTGCCACGCCCAAGATACGCTTTCTTTACACTGATAATGTGTGGCGATGAATATGTTAAGGGGGCACTGACCCTCGGCTGGTCTCTAAGGCAACAGGGTACTAAACACGAATTAGTAGTCATGACAACGCCTGATGTTAGCGTCAAGGCGCTTAAATTGCTGCGCAAGTTGTATGATCGCGTGCTTAGGGTAAGCTATATCGTTACAAGGACACGAAGTACTTTGCGAGGTAAGCCGTACCGCGACGAAAACCACTGGATCAACTACAGTTTAACAAAAGCAAAACTCTTAAAGTTTACTGAATACGATAAAATCGTGTGGCTCGATGCTGACTGTCTGGTTGTTAACAACATTGATAATTTATTCGAACTACCCGCTCCTGCGGGAATCTGCTCTAGTGTTCGCAACCACAATTACTGGCACGGATTAAAGATTCCAGAAGAGTTGATCGAGAATTCTAYTGAAAACAATTATGGTATTCATGGTTGTGTCATGATTCTAGAACCAAGACTTGAAAATTACTTCTTAGCGAGTTCTCAGCCTGTGATTGGCGACAAAAACACCTTCATGGGTCCTGACGAGTTCTTTTTTACTAAGCTTTACAAGCTTCAATGGCATCACATTCATGTAAAATATGGATGCACGCGCTGGCATATGGAGAGACTGGGCACAATGCCTGACGTCATACACTTTGGGGGAGCTCGACCGTGGGAAAAAGCCGACGACATCCAAGAATGGGAAGGAACTTGGAAATGGAAAAACACAGTTGATCAAATGTTACGCGCCAATCCAGCTTTTAACGTAATTTTTAAGATTCAAGAAAAGCGTCCAAGAACTACGACATTGCTGCGTTTACTTACTGAGACGTAACGTTAGAACAACAGAGTGGCCTTTATTTCGGTGTGAAACATTCGGTGAACGTTTCAGACCACGACATTGCTGCGTTTACGTAACGTTGGAACGACAGTGCTTTTTTAAAATAAGAAAGAAACGCACGGTGAACGTCTCAAACTGGTAACGTTGTCACGCATCATATTAATCTGTACCCTATCAAGAGAACTCGGCAGAGACTAAAAAGAAACAACTCTCAAAGAAAAAAGACAACACTTTTTTACCATTCTATTTAATATTTCTATGTTTTAAAATGTCCAACGTACTACATAAATATATATATGTATTATTCAAGATGTTTCTAGCTTTTATGAATTTTAGATTTTGAATTCATCTGAGAAAATGTTAACTTACTACGAACAATAAAACWGTCATAACAACACGACTTTGTCGTGAGCACTGTTTAAAATATTTTGATATTTGAGAAAAAAATTCCTAAACCTCGTCTACTGTACTTCTCGTATAGCGAATAAGGAGAATTCGCCGTGAACTCGTGACTCATGGATTCAGTGCTGAGGGCATTGGTACTCTCCATGAATGACGTCACGTTTGTTTCGGTGAAATGCATCATGGTATTGGAAAAAGTATCAGGATGGCGGGTTTGTTGGAAAAATTACTATGGAGGACGAGTTTTCTGTAGGAATGCTTAAATGACATTGATTCTGCAGCTTGTATTTTCCTTAACCACAGTGTATATCATCGAATATCACACGACGTCAGCTTGAAAAGACCATTGTTGTATATGTACTAGGGTTAGATTGAAACGAAGAGCCCCTGGGTTTCTCTATACAGAACGATAGCCGTCGTATCTCCTGTCATTGGCGAACACAAAGCAAAATATCTTTTTCTAGTGGCACCCACTATGATGTAAACAGCCTCTAATAGAGTAAGTTGAGATAATTAGTAATTAAGGTTAGTCTGTAATGGTACGTCGTCATGRATAGGGTGTGGTGGGGGTAAAAGTGACCCRTTTTGCTCTCAAAGTTGGTCCTTTAGTCACGGTTTCACTTGTATTTCCAGTAGTATCTAGATTCTGGTAAGTTGTTGCCAGATGTGGGCAGGAAAGAAGTCTTCTACTTTCTGGATAAGAAGATTGAATGGAGTGGACACCCAGGCCAGACACTAAAGCACACAAACTTTGCATTAAAACTTAGGTCAGATCTCATTTGTGTTTGTGTTATAGTCGTTTGACGAAATGCAACAAACAGTCAAAAGTACGAGTGTTTCAACAGCTTMTCGWGACAGCGATTATTAGTGGATCGAAAAAAAGGGGTTAAAAGTAGCTCCTTACTTCAGAAGATACAATTATTGACTGTGCAGAAAATTTAGGCAGTTTTCTTTTTTTTTTTTCTTTTTTCTCGCTTTCTTTGTTTTCCCCTTATTTGGAGGTCCCTACACACGGACAAACCACTTAGTCKTGGAATTGTTCATTTCAACACATATTGTATCGCATAAGTCATATATATTTTTTACTTTATGGCACACTTAAGGCCGAATTAGACAGMAAAACTTTGCATCGCGTACAACATGCCTAAGTCATCATTTACAACATGTCTACAACTGTCGTAGGGCTTTTAAACAGTTCTTTTGAATCTCTACGACCGTCGTAGCCATGTTGTAAAGAGGACTAGTGCTGGTATTGCATGTGATGGTTGTAGCCTTGTAGGCAAACTTTGTGCCCTATAATTCGGCATTGAAAAAAAAGGAAAAAACCTTTAATTCCATGGGTTTACAATAGGCTTCATCCACAGGCACCCCTTTACACTTTTCTCATTTTCCTGCTTTGATTACTTTGTACCCCTTTCATCTCGCCCCATCTTCCCAATTCATGCACAGGAAACCCAAGGGACAGAGGAGAATCGCAGTGATGTCTACAGAGTACCTGTTTAGTTTAATTCTACTTACAGTACGAGCCAAGTTAGCCATTGGTTCCGGGAACTGATGAGTAAGAAGAGCAAGAACAGCAGTAAACGAACATAAACCAGCAGTGAAGAGAATAAAAAATGGCAGCTCCTTCTTAGGGTAAACTGACAAAATATGATGAGCTGAAAGAGAAAGGGCCAAATGTGACCTTCATTAATACATTTTTACATCTTGGTGCAATTTACTTAGTAATGTCTCATAATCAAATTTGTATGGATTATAAGGTTGTGGAAATATTCAAAAATGCAATCAAGGTTGCTCAAATTTGTTTTTTTTTACAAAAAGTCCTTTTATACTGCTCTTTTTGGAATAACTCTACTGCTAGTGACATCTTAAACTTCCATCACTCAGCTTCATTCACAGCTAAATCCAATCTCCCACAACCCTTAATACGTCAAAGCCACAATTTTTGTTGCAATAATTACAGTAAGGTCACGACGTTATCATAMTCTGTCTATGCAAATAATCTTTTACGCAAATTCAAATCAAAAGTCAACAAACAATATTTTTACACTTTGTACAAATGTAACATAATAGTACTGTGTTGTGACTTGGGCTCCCTGTGTGAACCCAGGCCCGCAACCGCCTAAAGTGTAGTAAACACGTAAGATAWATCAGCTGTTATTCTTAGTCTAACTGCTTTATGTATAGCTGTTTTACRGATTGCTCATTGCCATTCTAAAAACTAAATGATACAAAAAAGACATTTGAAAAAAAAAAATGGAAAATTGGAACAGTACATTGTTATATAAGCTGAAACCGAAAGGGTACATGGGAAATTTAGATAGACTGGTAACAAGTCAAGTTGTGTTTACTACAAATTTTCGCTATGAACACGCTTTTCTTATATTTGATTGCCTTTTCTTTCATAACAGTGAGTAATGCTTGCTCGTGTGTCCCACGAGACACGTCAACGCCAGMGTTTTTATGCTGCAACGATTACGGTAAGCACATGACACAATGTTGTTCATGCGAATCTCGCAGAGCGAAAGCTCCGTCAAGAAATCGAAAGTGGAAAGGTTAAAACATCTAAATATCTAGCTTCAATGTACTGTAATCGAACAGTTGAGGTTTTTGGCTTTACATTAAGCGGCATTTTTTGACAATCTGTTATAACTTAGTTCAACATTAAGGATTACATAAGCTTTCCATATATTTACCTACGCTTGACTGCCCAAAGATCTCAGTATTGCTATTTTTCCTTTAAAAAAGCTTGACTTTGAAGAGCAAACATCAAAAAACCCATTTTTGTTTTTTCTTTGCTAAAATTCTAACTCTTATTGCAGTTTCTTCGGGCTTTTTTTAGCGAGGAAAAAACACAGATCTGAATATTCAAATGGCATTGTTCAATTCGTATGAATATACGGGTATCTTCATTGTTCCCTTAATACAAAAGCAGTTATAGTAATTTTCTTATTTTTTTAAAATAGTTTTGCGAGGTACAGTCGTAAAGAGTGTTGTAAAGGGAAGCAGTTCAAGACCAGAAAGTCAAGAAAGAGTGTTCACGGTGARAGTCCAAGARATCTTTAAAGGAAAAGAGAAAATCAAAGAGATAGCTGGTGATACATCGAACGTAAGCATTTCTACAGCAGCTGATAGTGCAGCTTGTGGAACAGACATCCCAYTAAACAAAGATTATTTCATCTCAGGTAAATAGTTCTCCGTTATTATAGCTATTTAAGAGAAAGGTATCGCGAAGAATAAGGTCACCAGAGTGCTTAATGCATGACCTTGAACTCTATAGTGTTGTCATCATGGGGACATTCAGCATCGATCGGAACGAATCTCACGATAGGTTGAGAAAACAACAAAACAAAAACCTAACCTAACAATAATACCGGCTTAAGGAGCAATCAGAAAGCAGKGATCSATYGGTGCTGATCCGATGACACTATGAGAGAAATTACTACATKATCAAACTGTCACTTGTAGTTATTTCAAAAAAACATTGAATATTGAATACTGTAATATAATATTATTGCATAGTGCACTCCAAGATCGAAATTGCTATTGAACTCCACCTCAGCTTCGTTTCAAAATGACAAACTAAATTCAACTGCTTTMCATTGATGTTCTTGATTGATCAACAAAAACTCTTTCCGTATAGCAATAAATTGACCAATAATGCACTTTGGTCTTGGGGTATACATACATTCCCGTAACAGTATCCAGCGTTTGAAAAACTCAATCAAATAATCCATTATCCTATTTAACTTTTTTTCCATCAGGAAATTTCTGGGAAAATAAAATTAGAAGCCAAGCATGTAACAGCTGGTACGTAGAGTGGAGCAGTGTTGAAAAGTCATTCAAAGACTTCACACCAAAGCTCAAGACCTGCCCTTGTGGAGTTAGTTGTCTTTTGCCGTTACAGACCTTAGTAGCACTTRCAGTACTAACTAGCATAGTGAACTATTCATAAATACACTCATAGTTGCGTAGAGTTGTCTGKTATCATTACAGACCCTTAATAACACTGTCATCTGACTACGCAGGCAGTAGTCAATAAACAATTATATTAAAACTTTGTACGAGCTAAACACACGGAATTTGGGTTACTCATAGACGAAGCTCTGAGTTTCAGAGAAAGCAGTTTTCGGAAAARGCAACGCTTCTATTCACATAATAGACCCCTTGGGAATGCAGCTCCAACAGTGGACGAGGTAGGGTTGTCGTACGTATTCCATATATGGT